CTTCTTTAATGATAAAATTCTAACTATCGTAAATAAGATTCACCAAGACCTGCCCTCAACTGGCACCGACTTATCTCTAAACTCAGGAACCTTAGAAATGGCTGTAAAAACTGATATATGTTTAGACTGCTTTGCTTCTCTCAATTTTTACCAACTAACTTCAATAATTTCTTCATCTAAACCATCAACCTGCCTCTTAGACCCCATCCAGACTAGGCTGCTTAAAGATGTTTTACCTTTAGTCAGCACTTCTCTACTAGATATGATCAATCTATCTTTATCAACAGGCTATGTACCACAGTACTTTAAAGTAGCTGTAATTAAACCTCTTCTGAAAGAGCCCCACCTTCATCCAAGTGTTTTAGCAAACTATAGACCTATATCTAACCTTCCATTTCTCTCTAAGATCCTGGAGAAAGCAGTTGCCAAACAGCTGTGTGACCTTGAACATTGCAATAGCTAGTTTGAGGATTTTCAGTAGGGATTTAGAGCTCATCATAGCACAAAAAAATTACAAATGATCTTCTAATTGCATAAGACAAAAATCTTAGTGCTGCATTTGATACCATTAGATCCTATTGCAGAGACTGGAACATTTCATTGGCATTAAAGGAACCGCTCTAAGCTGGTTTAAGTCCTATTTATCAGATCAATCTCAGTTTGTACATGTTAACGATGAATCCTCCATGCACGCCAAAGTTAGTCATGGAGTTCCACAAGGATCTGTCCTCGGACCAATCCTCTTCACTTTATATATGCTTCTTTTAGGCAATATTATCAGGAAACACTCCCTAAACTTTCATTGTTATGCAGATGATAATCAATTATATCTATCGATCAATACAGATGAAACTCATCAGTTAGCTAAACTTCAAATGTGCCTTCAGGATGTTAAACCTGGATAACCTGTAATTTTCTAATGTTAAACTCTGGGGCCCAAGCACCTCCGTGACGCATTATCTAAAGATATAGTTTCCCTTGATGGCATCGTCCTGGCCTCCAGCACCACTATGAGGAATCTTGGAGTTATCTTTGATCAGGACATGTCGTTTAAGTCTCACATTAAGCAAATTTCAAGGATTGCCTTTTTTCACCTTCTCTCTCTCACCAAGAGGTTTCTGCCCTTCAAAGGAAGTTTTTCTTTCTTTTTTTTGCCTCTGTCACCTAGTGCTTGCTCTTGGCGGGAAATGTTGGGTTTCTGTAAATAACAAGAGTGCGGTCTAGACCGAAAACCACTATGAGGTAAATGTTGTGATTTGGTGCTATATAAATAAAATTTAACTTGACATATTTCATGTAATAAAAAAAACATTTGCATATCCCCCCCTGTGGAATTGTGGCAGTAGAAAAGACAATTCATTTAATAATAGTGTTAGTTAGTGTTTAGTTAATAGTGCAGTGTCCCTTGGCTCTCTGGTCCCAGTCTCCTCGGTTCCCTGTGCCCGTGTCTCCCCGGCATCCACCTCTCCCTCCACTCCATCCCTCACCCCCCTCATCCTTCAATAAACCTCCTTCCCTCTGAGCTCTGCATTTGGGTCCTCTCTGTCACCACACCACCGTAACACAAACACCTGTGTGGAGACTGTCTTGCAGTGGTCGGTTTTAAATGTATATGTTAATCTTTCTAAATGTCTATGAAGATTCTCAGTCATCCAGGTCATAGTTATCCAACGAAGGTTAAAATCAAGGGCAACTGGACTTGGTTGAAGATACTGGAAGACGTTTCGTCCCTCATCCAAAGGACTTCTTCAGTTCTGACTGACTGGCAGGGAAACTCAGCTATTTAACCTCAGTGGGGTCGTTGGCCCGGGTCATCGATACCGCTGGTTCGTTAGTGTTCCTTGTTGCTGGGACGACAGTCGTTACAGTCGTTAAGACTACCTGTGGCCAAGACTGAACGACCATCGTTGGCCAATAGGTTACGTTTGTTGAGTTTCCTGGGAAGTGATGAAAGGACAGCATTGTAAGTGGGGGATAAGTGGTGGCGTAGACCCCCTCCCCTGTTCAATGACGGCTTCTCAACCCTGGTGTAGATGGCTTCCTTGACACCTCTTTCAAACCATCCATCTTCTCTGTCTAAAATGTGCACCTGGTGGTCCTCAAACGAGTGTCCTCTGTCCTTCAGATGTAAGTAGACTGCAGAGTCTTGACCTGAGGAGTTGGCCCTTCTGTGTTGAGCCATGTGTTTAGTGGTTGTTTAGTCTCCCCAATATACAGGTCTGTGCATTCCTCACTGCATTGGACCGCATACACTAGATTGCTTTTCTTGTGTTTGGGTGTGCGGTCTTTGGGGTGTACCAGCATCTGTCTTAGTGTGTTCTGGGGTTTAAAAAACACAGGGATGTTATGTTTGTTGAAAATCCTCCTGAGTTTCTCTGATACTCCAGACACGTATGGAATCACAGTGTTGTTGCGTTTGACCTTCTTTTCCTCCTCCCCTGTAGTTTTGTTCTTCTTGGATCTTGTGGCTGTTTTCACAAAGGTCCATTTAGGGTATCCACAGGCTGTAAGTGCCCCCTTCAGGTGGTTCTGTTCCTTCTCTCTGGCTTGGGTGCTTGTTGGTATGTTTTCCGCTCTGTGGTGCAGTGTTCTCATGACCCCTAGCTTGTGCTGCAGTGGGTGGTGGGAATCGAAGAGTAGGTATTGGTCTGTGTGTGTGGGTTTTCTGTAAACACCAATCTGCAGGCTCCTGTCCTCTTCAATGTGTACAGCGCAGTCCAGGAAGGCCAAACTGTTGTTGTGAACATCTTCTTGTGTGAACTTGATGTTACTGTCCACAGAGTTGATGTGTTCTGTGAAGGCTTGCACTTCCTGGCTTTTAATTTTGACCCAGGTGTCGTCCACATATCTGTACCAGTGGCTCGGTGCTATTCCTCTGAAGGAGTTGAGGGCTTTATTCTCCACATCTTCCATGTAGATGTTTGCCACAATCGGGGATACCGGTGAGCCCATGGTACAGCCATGCTTCTGTCAGTAGAATCCACCGTTGTACTGGAAGTAGGTGGTGTTCTGACAGAGGTCGAGTAATTTGCAGATTTGGTCAGGGCTGAGTCTAGTTCTGTTGTCCACACTGTAACTTTTATTATATTTTATGTTGCTTTTAAACTTTTTTATATTTCCCTGTTGCTTTTCTGTTTTATGTAAAGCACTTGTTAGTAAAATGTGCTATACAAATAAACTTGCCTTGGGTTACTTACTGACAGCCAACCCTTTAAAGAAATTACAAACTCCACAGACCAAAAGAAATATGGAGCTGGGGTATTGATTGATTTGAAAAAAGCATTTGATACAATTATTGATATATTAATAAATAAACTGGAAAAAGCTCGGGATCGGGGGGATAGTGCTGAATTGGTTGAGCAGTTATTTAAAAGACAGGAAACAATTTGTTAAGTTGGGAGATTATACATTTGAATGTTTGGACATTGCGTGTGGTGTCCCCCAGGGGTCAGTGTTGGGACCAAAATAATTTTACCATCTACATAAACGACATATGTAAAGTATCTGAACTACTGAAATTTGCATTATTTGCAGACAACACTAACATCTTTAGTTCTGGTCAGAATTCACAGCAACTCCTGGACTTAATCACTTCAGAATTCAGACAAAATAAAACAGTTCTTTGACACAAAAAAGTTAACGGCTGACTTGGTTCAGAATGGGCTGTCAAGCTCCAATCTTGTCATCCAATCCTGGCATTTGAAGGTCCAATGTCGGAGGCCAATCGCTCAACAGGATATCCAATGTGACATTGGATGGTGCCCAATCACTGCGCGGGATGACATTGGACGTCACCTATCGCTGCGCTTCTTTCCAGTCCCTCCGCCAGTGACTGACATTGGACGTCGCCGGCGAAACGGCTTCTAACAACTCTGTCAGAAGTAAGTAATAAATGTCTTTATTTTATAGACATACATGCTTAGTTATGTTATATATATCCATCTTTTGTTGTCGAGTGTCACATTACGTTATAATGAAGGCACGACGTTAGCTAACGTTAACTGCTAGCAGTCTCTAACGCATATCACTAACTTAAATGTAATAATGGTATAAAAAATTAATATAAGTGTAACGTTAAACAGCCATGCATGCTTTATTCCCCTTCTTAATTAGCCACACCCATTATATGCATTGCATCTCATCGTTATAGAAATAGTTTCTATATTAGTTATAGAAACGTTTCATTGTATCAGAATATTTTAGTAGGCTTACTACCTGTTTAAGACAGCGGTGGCAGGTAACCAACGTTATATAGCTAACACAGCTGCTGTAACTTACATATTTTGTACAGAACGTAATATATTATGTTTGCTTCTGACAAGTTACATGAGCAAGTATGTATGTGCCGCAGTGTCACAGTGAATTATTCAAAGCATGTTCACATTCAGTTTTGTACTTGTTGACAAGAGCTATTGTGGGTGTGCTTACAGTACCTGTCGTTTTACTGTAAATATTAACTGGTGAAATAGCTACCTACCAATGACATTTGAGCCAATGACATTATTATTAGCCCATCTGGAGCATTGAAGAAGGGAGATAACAGCTGTTAATGGTTGTAGATATATCCATGTCATTACTGTATCTGAATGCAAATATATTACGTTCATATTATTAGATGAGCATCAAAACTAAGAGCCACAAGGCCATGGGAGATGGCGAGTGGATGGCAAGGCTGAGGGCATTTGCCACCACTGGCCTTTGGCCTTCAGGAGGTAATAAACCAGCCCCAAGGCAACGGAAGTGGTATGACCTCTACCAGAAGGTAAAGTATTGCAAAATTTCTACCCATTACTTGTTACGGTCATTAACATGCAGTTCACTTGATGAAAAATGGTCGATTTCATGGTGCAGATAGTATCAATCAGACGGACTGTAAATTACAATTCTGATTGTTCCAGATTGAGAAATGCCCCATGCAGGCCCATGGACAGAGCACCCTCTTTGGAGGGTCCAAGGCCTGTAACTGTGGATTTCCCACCGTTAAGGTGATCTCTTTCAAAATGACATCACATAAATTTTCATCTTGCATCGCATCTGTGTTATAACACTGTTGCAGTTACATCACATGTCGTAATTCTATTCTTTTAGCAGCCTGCCACTCCTGCTGAAGCCCCACAGTCTGTGGCCTCAGACTCGGACCCTGGTGCGACTTCAGCAAGTGCTGCAGCGTCTGCCGCCACCCCGAGGTCTTTCCTGCGCCCCCCGCTGAGTTTGTCAATGGTGAGTTCTTTCTAATCAATTAATCTTTTGTATGAACCATTGTGTTTGTGTTGCATCATTAAATTATGTCTTTTTCTCCTTTCAGTTCACTAAATCACGTTTTGGTGGGTCAAAGTCTGACTCACTAAAGCCCAATTTAGTGGCTAGTCCTTCTCCTCCTTCTCCATCCTCTGTGAGGACCCCGAGCTCTTCTCCTCTTCTTGCACCATCCCCTTTGAGGACCCCGAGCCCTGCACCATCCTCTGTGAGGACCCCGAGCCCTGCACCATCCTCTGTGAGGACACCGACCCCTGCACCATCCTCTGTGAGGACACCGAGCTCTTCTCCTCTTCCTCCTTCTCCTCTTCCTTCTCCATCCTCTGTGAGGACCCCAAGCCCTTCTGTAAGCAGCAGCCTTGCAGTAGCCCCTGTGAGTACAGCATCTATTCGTTGGTCTGGCTCTGTTGTAAATCATCTTCAGTATAGCCTTTATTTATGCTATAAACTTACTCTTATTTGTTATTGTCTTTCAAACAGGATGAGTCTGGAGGAGTTCCTTCAGCAGCTGCTGCGGTTGCAGCTTCAATCTGGTTGCTGGGGGAACTGAGCAAGACCATCCCTGTGCAGGACCACAGGTGGGTTGCCAGCACCCTCTTTCCCTCCGGTAAACTGCGGTCAGATGTAAAGCTGTGGTATGAGCCCCCTGTCCCAGCCCTCATTTACCACCAGACCCCGGCACCCGACAGCTTCTTCACCCATCGGCTGATGGTGTGGATGCCATACCACCTGTGGAAGGTGAAGGTGTCCTGCCCGGCTTGTGGGAAGCAGCTGACGGGCTATGGTGTCCACAAGAGGGCTCGAAAGGTCTTAGACATCGACGGGTATTACCTGATGGTGACAGAGACACTCAGGTGCACCGTGTGTTCCCTGAACTATCTGTCAACCAGTCAGACTGTCCGGGACCAGCTGGACCTGCCCCACCAGAAGCTGTTTCAAATGATTCTGACCCGCAAGTGAGTAAAACAGTTTTGAAAAGACTTAATCCACTTAAATTATCCTCCAATAAACATGTAACTAATCACTGTATTGTTATATGACGTGTATACACACCCAGGATTAAATTAAATATACTTTTCAGGTATGCTTGTGACATACGTGTCATTCGGCTGCTTCAGGACCGGACTCTCGGCAACAGTCCAGCACGACTGGCGAAGCAGCTCCGGGAGAACCACGGTGAGAATTGGCTGAACCGGTTGGCACACTATGTGGGGGAGTGTGCTAACTTTATGGATCAGCCCAGCCTCTTCCCAGTGATCTGCCAGGAGCCCCCGGAGCCCATCCACGTCCCCACCAGTCGCTGGCTGCTGACCGTCTACAGCAGGGACATCCTCTCCCGTCTGGACCACATTAAGGCCAGCATCACCTCCACGTTTGGTTCCATCTTAAAGATGGATTCAACCAAAAATGTAAGAAATAATCTATCTGTAATATATTTCGTTGTATGTAATATATACTCTCATATACATGTTTACGTTATTGTCAGTGGTAACATTACATAAGTTTGTGCTGTGTCTTAACTGCTATAGATAATGTCTAAAACATATGTAATTAAAACATCACCCTCCAGATCACAAAGAAGCTGGCTGGCCACGGCAGAGGGACAGCTCTCTGGCTGACCTCAATCAGCAACGAAGTTGGCCAGGTCCTGACCAGTGTCCTGACAGTGCAGGAGGGGCCAGGACTGGACAGGATGGTGTCTGGAGTGATGGAGCGGTACCGCCAGGCATGTGTCCCCCCGCCTGTGCTGCTGTATGTGGACTGTGGCTGCTGCGTGAGCGAGGGCGAGAGCAAGCTGCAGACCAGGTTTGCACAGTGGCCAGACATCCACATAAGACTGGACATCTGGCATTTCATGAGGAGGCTGGCTGTCGGTTGCACCACCGATGCTCATCCCCTCTACCCCACCTTCATGGGCTGCCTGTCTGCATGTATCTTTGAGTGGGATGCAGGGGACCTCAGTCTGTTGCGGCAGGCTAAGAGAGAGCAGCTCAGACAGGAGGGTGTGCCAGCGCTTACTGATCTCCTGGTGGACAGGAGAATCACTAAGAAGGAGCTGAGCCAGTACTGCAGAAGGAGGACGCGTGGGAGAAGGGGACCATCAGCCTCATCGAGCAGTTGCTGCAAACACTGGAGGGGCCAAAAGGGAGAGACCTCATGGGGGTGCCGCTACTGGAACAGGTGCGCATGGAGCACATCTGGCGGGTGCAGAAACGGCACGTCAAGTGCATCCAGGACGTGCCAGGTGTGCAGCTGTACACAGTGACAGGCACCACCACCACCAAAGGCGGCGTTGTCCTGACCAGGTACCGCTGTGCCAGAGGGTCCACGTCCCTGGAGTCGTTTCACTGCCACCTCAACAGGTTCATTCCAGGTTGGTGTCTCTCTTGTGGGATTTTAAATAATTTGTAAGGTTTTTTTCAACACATTTAAAGATTGAAAAGCAAAACCATATTTTGTTGTTTTCCCAGGAACCAGTGCAAACGCACTGAACTTCCAGTTGTACCTGCTGGAAGGCCTCAACAGGTGGAACCAGGATCGGGGGAATGCAGCGGTGACCAGCAAGCCCTCATCTCTCCTCACCTACGCCGGGGATGTGGTCCAGTGTCTCAACACCAACAGCCTGAAGGTGTTTGGCCGGGTACTTGTGCCAAACTTCAGGCCACCTGCCAGATACACTGGTATGTCTTAAATGATGATGTGGCTTTTGTTTTGGTTTGTGGGTTTTTAGTGTATTAATGTTTGACGTTAAAATAAAACAATTACATAAGGATATAGAATGTTTTGAATTTCAACTAATAATGTGTCTGTGTGCGTGTTTCTGTTATTTTCCATAGGAGAGCTGCTTGGTGTTGACTACCTGCTGAGTCAGACTGGATAGCCCATGGCGGTGAACCCCGACTCAGAGGAGACCTGCTGCCTCCTCCCAGCCTGCTGCCTCCTCCCAGCCTGCTCCCTCCATGGCTGCTGCGTCCGGGGTATGTAAAGACATAATTATGTGTATATACACATATATAAACCGCATCTGCATTTTGTCCCACCTCACTGTCCTCGTGTCTTTTTCAGGTGGTGGATGACAGTGGCATGCCAGGGTTGGACAAAGTTGACAGCTTGGCAGAGTATCTGGTGGAGCTGAGAAACCAGACCGCTCTGTACCTGAACAACCAGCAGGTCAGTAACATTTATTGTCTTGCTACTTTCCCAATCTTGTCATACATGTTCACACTTAACACTTAACTCGTCTTTTCATGTGCTGTTGTGTTCTCTCTCTGCTTAGGTGAGCACCATTGTTGCTCTGTGGCAGAACCTGCCGGACCACGACAGGCAGAGGGTGGTGTTTGCTGCCAGACACCAGAGCAGGCTGGACACAGGGAGATTTAGGTCTCCAAAAAAGCGGCAGGAGTTCACTCCAGGGACGGAGAGTGTGAAGAGGCACGCACTCACCACCACTGCCCCACTTGCCCAGTGGCCAGATTGCTGCCGCCTGATTGAAACTATCTTTGTCAGGCTCTGTGCCATTCACCGCAGTCCCAAGAAGAAGGGGACTGGCACAGTGTCAAGATGGGATCTCATCCTTCTTGACTACAGGAAGATCAGGCAGCTCATTCTGTGCAATGGGGCGGTAATGCAGCAGACCACCCTGCAGCTGGTGGATGTGAGCCACACCACCCTGGTGCAGTGGCACAATAAGAGGGTGAAGAGGCAGGAAAATATGGTGGTGATGCAGGGGCTGAACCTGCCCAGCCGCTTGTCTGTGGCAGCTAACCCTCTTCCCTCTGCTAATGTGCGCCCCTCGTCTGCTCCCCCCCAGCCAGGCCCAGCTCACCAGTACCACCTGCCCAGCAGCACCGTGGGCCTGGCGAAGTTGAAGAGGAAAGTATCACCCTCGGTGGCAACACCCATGGCTGTCAATCCCCAGCAGCAGCTCCTCCCTGCTCCACCATCAGGTCCTCAGCTGCGTCCCCAGCAGCTCTTCCCTGCTCCACCATCAGGTCCTCAGCTGCGTCCCCAGCAGCTCTTCCCTGCTACACCATCAGGTCCTCAGCTGCGTCCCCAGCAGCAGCTCTTCCCTGCTACACCATCAGGTCCTCAGCTGCGTCCCCAGCAGCAGCTCTTCCCTGCTCCACCATCAGGTCCTCAGCTGCGTCCTCAGCGGCAGCTCTTCCCTGCTCCACCCAGCCCTCAGTTCATGATGCTGGTTCCAGTAACCCCAGGTGCTGCTCCACAGACCCTGGGGTTCAGCCTTTCCTCTGCCCCTCCTGCTCCTGCTCCAGTCCCCCGAAAACTGACCCGAAAGGTGCTGCACAACACGTGCAAAAAATGCGGACAGTTCAGGACGGCGGAGACTGGACACAGCCAATACAAGGGTGTGGTTTACTGCCCCTCTGTAGAGGCTGTACCAAAGGAGCAGTGTTTGGAGGACATGAAAAGGAATAAATAAATGTTTTTACTGGATGCTTTTTTTATGTAAATACTTTTATTTAATGTTAGTTTTTATTCAGTTATAATGTTCAATTTTCTATGAAAGGGACTGTTTACCCCACTATCAGAGGCATGTGCCCTGGACACTTTTTTATGTTTATAGTTTTATATTATATTTAATGTTAATCTTCAATAAGTTATAATGTTCAATTTTCTATGAAAGGGACTGTTTACCCCACTATCAGAGGCATGTGCCCTGGATACTTTTTTATGTTTATAGTTTTATATTATATTTAATGTTAATCTTAAATAAGTAATTATTTTTAAACTATACTATTTTAATATATAGGTATGTGTTATTTTTTTTATTATCTTATACTGTGGAGTGTTTCTGACTATTTGTCCTCCTTCTAAACTGATTTATAATAAAAGTTCATATCATTCATATATTTTAAGTGCAAATCTTGTTTTCAGGTAACTAGTAACTGTCAAGTAATTGGAGTGAGTGAAGTTAAAAGTACAGGCACTTTCACAGTCCAAGGTGACTTCTTCAAAGGATTTGTTCTGTTTAGTGAAGTCTTCTCCAGGACATTATGCTATATTGAGCTAACACTGGGGCTTGGTTCAGCCTCAGACACCAGACAAATGAAACCAAGACAGCATAAAAGAAACACATTCTTCTTCAAGGGAACACAAAGCAACAAACATCACTGTAAAATATTTAATTAAAGAAACTTGAAAGATACATAGAGTCTATGTATGGATAGTAGACTAATATAATACATGAGGTAGACCAAGAAAGTATTTTTATACTAAATCAAGTTTACATGGGCAACCAAGAGGTGGGATTCGAACAGGGTCTCTGTGTGGATGTGTCTTTCTCCTCCTGAAATGCACACAAAATTACATTTTTGGTCTTAACAAAAATAATGCTATAAAAAGACTTTGGAGTGCCACATGAGCGCTACTGGGGGCTACAGAATTGTGTTGTCTTCTTTTCTTTCCTTTTTTCTATCCTTTTTCTTCTCTTTTCTTTCCCCCTTTTTCTTCTCCTTCTTCCCCCTCCTCTTTGTTTCTCCCCCAAGCCAAACAGACTGTTCTTCCCCAGCTTTGGCGCAGGAGGTAGAGTGGGCTGGCTGTTAATCGGAAGGCCGGCGGTTCAATCCCTGGCTCCCTGGTTGCATGTCAAAGTGTTCTTGGGCAAGATACTGAACCCCGAATTACCCTGGCGGCTGTTCCGCCAGTGTGTGAATGTTAGTTTCTGTTTGAGCACTTAGGCTCAGTGAGTGAATGATGAATGCAGATGTAGTGTAAAAGCACTTTGAGTGGTTGAAAAGACTCGAAAGGCGGAGTATGTAAGTACGGAGCATTTGCATTAAATTTGAGCAAAATTAAATTCATTATATTTGGCAATTGTAAATCAATCAATCAAGTTCAGTTACAGATCGAAGGTGTCGAAATGAAATTGCTGGGAGTGACAAGATTTGCTGGAAATCTCACAGAAAGAAGTTTTTCAGTCCTGGCTACTACTAAACACATTCTAGATTACAGATCACTCCATATTTTGTATTAATCATTGGTGTTACTTTGGGGAAACAAATATCAAAATTGTCTTTCCCCAAAAGAGAGGGGGGCTACAACTTAAGAGGAAAGTTGAATTTTAAGACTCCCAGTTGTTGAAATACTAGGAAAAGTTTATCTGTCAGGGGTGTTAAATTGTGCAATAAACTAAATAATGAATTAAAGCAATGCTCAAACATATTCCATTTTAAAAAGATGTTCAAAGAAACACAGTGCTAAAAATAACCTGAGCTTATATTGAATAATGTGTAGTATGTATCAATATTGTTGTGTATGTGTAATATCTGTATGTGAATCGAACTTTTGAATATATATTTTCATTGATTATAGATTTATATTCTCTGTAGAGGGGTAGGAGTCCATAAGTTTTACTTCTTCCAACTCCTTTTTGCACATGTAAATAGAGGTTTTTCAAATACTGGTAAGTATGGAGTTTCAATTTATGATGTTCATCTGTTTACCACTATTTTGATTATTTTTCAAATGTTCAAAATAAAAGATATCAAGTAATCAATCAAACAATTGCATATTCTCCTTTTGGAATTGTGGCAGCAGGAAAGATCATTCATATGGAATTACGTCCTTTAAGCCAAGCAAGGTAAGTTAAGGTAAGGTAAACTTCTGGACTGCTTTTCAAGTCGTGATAGAGAGAAGAAAGAGGGGCTGGACTAAAACTTCCACTGTGGATGCTGTGGATCCGTGATGCTTTGGAAGAGATTGCGCTTTTGGCTGTTGCGTTAGAAGGCGTTCTCCTTTTTCATTTGGGATTGCACTGTTGGGTTATCCATGTTCTGAGGTGAAGCCTTGATTTTTGATGCATAGCCTAGGTGTAAGGTAAGACAACCTGAACGTTTCTTATTATAATTATTTCTTCAGATTGTACAGCCAATTGACTTTGGGCCGCATTGTCGTCACTTTAAGAAACAACAACCTTCATTTTATCTAAGAAAATAATGCTCCAGAGATTTTTCTAAATTAAATGGAAAAAGAAACAAAATATAACCACTCTGCCATGAAACAGTAGCTGTGTTATGTGGAGATGAGGAAAAAAAATTCACAAGCTCCTGTCGGACACATGCTGAGCTACAGCTCTAATGCCTACAAGACACCGGGGAAGCACGTTTTTTTTAACTAAAACTAACTGCTTGATGAGGCAGCAAGAACTTGAAGAGTAAACATTACACTGGATTTTGCAGAGCTTCATAGGGAAAAACTTTATGCCACCTATTTATTTGGCTGACATTGATATTTCAGATGTCTTTTAAATGAGCTACTTAACATTGGACATGAATGTTCATAGTCTGGAATTCCGCATAGGGAATTGGACACAATCTCATCCCCATCCCCAGTGAAAGAGTACACATTTTTTGACATTGAAAAAACTTTTATTAACCTTGTCATGGTTTATTTTGTAAGTTTGTGTGTGTGTGTGTGTGTGTGTACGTGTGTGTGTGTGTGTGTGTGTGTGTGTGTGTGTGTGTGTGTGAAGGCATCTGCATTATCATTAGCAGGTGGTGTGTTAATGTTAATGATGACGGTTCCTTTTCCACCTCACAACCACAATGTTGCTGCTGAAACAAAAGAAGACGGTCAATTTGTATTGTGATGTACAGTATCTGTTTTCACCTCTGAAATGTGTGAAATTGTGTGATATGTAAACTTACGGAACCAGGCACAGCATCAGGAGGTGGATGAGACACCGCCTGGCCGCAGAACTTGCAGGCTATGAACTTGAGGTGCCGACTCCTTTTAGAACAACCTAACAATATTTCCGTCACTAATATTAACAGCTGGAGGATGATGGTTCCTTTTCCACCTCACAACCACAATGTTGCTGCTGAAACAAAAGAAGACAGTCAATTTGTATTGTGATGTACAGTATCTGTTTTCACCTCTGAAATGTGTGAAATTGTGTGATATGTAAACTTACGGAACCAGGCACAGCATCAGAAGACGGACGAGACAACGCTCGGGCAGTTTCTCCGGCTGCATCTTCAGCCTCCAGTGCTCCAGAAGTTCATACACCCACCTTTCCTGAACTTTGAGGAAGTAACAGTCAGGTGACAACTCTCTTTGGGACATCTTCCAAGTTGAATAAAACAAGATATGACCATGTGAACCATTTGAACGAGTACATTAAATGCATTAAAAGCTGGAATTCCTGGGATGTTAGGAGCACATACAATATTTGTACTGACATAAGTATTTTCGATGTTTTTCAACAGAGCTACTCAACTTCAGACATTAATGTTCTCATTCTGGTATCCTGCATAGAGAATTGGACACTCTTTGTAACATATCAGATTCTGTGTTTGGAAGATTTAGACAATTGGATTTCATTCTTGGAGTTAAATTAGGAAATAAGATTTCATCTTTAGATTGTTGCATACATGTCCAATATGCAGAAGGCTACCTCAAATTAGACATTGATATTCCCTTTTTGGAATTTTGCACTGGATACACTTTTAGGAACAATAGAGCATACCTTTGGAAATACTACAAAATACGATTTTACTATGGGAAATGTATCTTGAATTCTCGAATGTGAGTTACCTTTCATTCGAGATGTACTCTAATAGACGCATCAGGAAGCAGAATGAGCCAGAGCGCTAAGTTAAGACTGCTGCTGCACCCTGTGGGCGTGTCCCTGGTGTAGCATTGAAATGATTCGCTGTGAAACAGGAAGTTGTTGTAACCTCACTGTACATGCTCACATCTCTACCAAACTTTCCATGGTTGATAGGAGTCCTGCCCTGAATATATCTACAAGCTAATATTCATCATAGCTCCGCCTACTGGCAACAGGAAGTGACCTTCAATGAAGCAGCCCCCGCAGCACATTTCAACTACATCGGTGAAATTTATGTGTCACATATATCATGTCTAGACGCACCAAAAAGCCTCTTACATAAGAGGAAGTTGGCCATTTTGGATTTATGGTTATTTTTGCTGATTGCAGATCTGTACCTCAACATACACCTCCCAGACAAATGGTCTGATTGACTTCAAATTTTTGAAGGTAACACCTGTGACACGCCCACCAAAAAGAAGAAAACATACCTCGAATCCCGTTGCAGAAAATGTTGCAAACTGGTGCAAAACATTTTGAGATTGAACTCGCCCTTCATTCTACGGCACGTCTGTGGCATGGTAGCAAGCTCCATGCTTCGCCGTGAATCAGGAAGTCATTTTAACTTCACTGAACATGCTCAGATCTTCACCCTGAACACATCTATATGCTAATCATAGCGCTACTGGCAACAGGAAGTGACCTTCAATGAAGCAGCCCCAGGGCCAAGTTTCACCTACATGGATAAAATTTCTGTTGCACAAGTATTATGCCCAGATGTACAAAACAGCCTCACGCCCTATTGGACGTTGTTGTAACTACACAGTTCATGTTGATATCAGCACCAAACTTTACATGTTTGATAAGACTACCGCCCTGAACACACCTACAAGCCAATATTCACTTATATGCCAGCCGGAGACTTGTCTGACATTGTTCATGGGTTCTCTTAATCAGGACAGTCCTCCACATGGGTACATGACTCAGCAGAGAATTACCAGTATAAATCAGTGTGTTTAATATATAAAAAACTCAAACAAATAATTCAAAATAAGAACTAATTCAAAACAAAATAATGTGTCGATGGCTCAACAAAAAAATGTGGGGAATTCAGTCCTTCAAAAACAAAATTACAACTCAGTTCAAACCAGAGCAAACCCTCTTCCCAGTAAGTCAAAATAAAGGATTTCTGGAGGGTGCCAGTGCGGCACGCCCCGACATGTGTCAGAGTTTGAGGGTCCTTTCATTGATGCTTTAAGCTATAACAACAGTTATACAGTATTTGGTATGACAGATTGTAGCCTTGGAATTATGCATTTTTATTGGAATTAGGATACAGTTTGTGGTATGGCAGATTGAGTTCTTGGAATCAGGATACAGGTTTGGAATAACAGATTATAGTATTGGAATAGGAATAACAGCTTCTAGAACTGGAATCAGGATACGGTTTGTGGAACGTAATATTGTATACTTGGAATAAGGTACAAGAGTTTGAGGGTCCTTTCAATGATACTTTAAGCCGGGGGTGTCAAACTCATTTTGGTCTGGGGGCCGCATACAGCTTAATCTGATCTCAAGGGGGCCAGACCAGAAAACTCATAGCAAAATTACACAGAATTAACAATAAGCCCACTTTTTTCTTTGTATTAGTGCAAAGAAGAAGTAAATTATAAAAATCTTCATATTAAATGAATTGTCCTTTTACAAAATATATTATGTTATTATATGTAAATATATAATATTATATTAACAACCTAAGAGTTTTTAAGAAAAGTATGTGCAATTTCAATAACACTATTACTCAGTTTAACATTTATTTAAGTGCATTATGCATAAAGACTGATTATAGTGATTGTACAATGTCGCAAAACATTTAGTCACAGTTTTGTGGAACTTAAAAACACTGTCCTGCATGCTAACATAAATCAAACACATTAAAATATAGAAATTATTTAAAATCCATTTTCCAATTCTGGGAAGCAATTCTGAACACATGAATTGACTCCACGCACTTAAAATCTTAAGTGGCAGCTGTTTTAAACAGAAAATTGATAACGTAAATTTGTCCCCTTCCTTGTTAATGCATAAAATGTATACATATAAAAAAAAACCATACATAAAATATATGGTATGCATAAGAAATAATATTTTACTGAACAAAACTCATTTGTAGTAAAAGCAGCATTCCATAGGATTTAGTCTTGCTCTGTATTTGCCCCTGAAACTTGGCATCTTTTAATATCAGGTATCATGTCCTGAGTAGCAGCAAATTTTAGAATCTCATTTAAGTGCTTATGTGTGAGCTTTGAGTGCAGCTTTGTTTTATTAATGTTCATTACTGAGAAAACATGCTCACAAAGGTAGGTAGTCCCAAACATGCACAACCTTTTTCAGCCAGTACTGTTAATTTAGGATAACCTGGCAGGAGATACTGATAAAATGTGTCCAAGCCCACAGAGTTTCAAGTCAAGTTGCATGTCAACAGGCACATCAGAAGCTCGGACTGTGAATGGTGAGCGAAATACTGCAAATTCTGTCTCGAGTTCGCTAAAGACCTGAAATCGTTTCTCAAACTCCCTCAGCAACCCTGAAATCATTCCTTTGTACTGTCTCACGTCAGGATTAACGCTTGCTGCGCACACATCTCTTATACAGGGAAAATGAGCAGGGTCACCGCTTGCCATCTGCATCTCCCATAACGTGAGCTTTAACTTGAATGCACGTTTGCTGTCATAATACTGTGTTATAATTTTTTTTGCGTCCTTGCAACATTTTGTTCAGATTATTCAAGCGCTCTGTAATATCAACCATAAATGCAAGGTCCTGCAGCCATAGTGGACATTGTAATTCCTTAACAGGTTTACCTTTTTCCTCCATGAAATGTTCAATTTCCCCACGTAGATCAAAGAAGCGCTTCAGCACCTCTGCTTAATCATCTTACTTCAGTGTGGTATGGCAGACCATGGGTAATGTTACAGTCACTGAGAAGGCTGTCAAACTGACGATGATGGAGACCTCTGGCTCGGATGAAATTAACAGTTCGGACAACCAACTCCATGACGTGATCCATTTTTAACGACTTGCAGTTTAATGCCTCCTGATGCAAAATGCAATGAAATGTCCAAAAATCACACCCTCCATTTGCGGCTTGTACTTTCTCTCTGAACTTTGTCACAACACCTGCCTTTTTCCCAATCATTGACGACGCACCATCTGTAGCCATGCTTACGGCGCAAGACCAGTCCGATCCGACTCTGCACTCCAACGACGGAGCAAAAAATGTCCTCAGCTGTTGTGGTGTCGGTCATAGGCACCCACTCAAGAAACTCCTCTGTGACAGTCAAAGTCTCGTCAACTCCACGAAAGAATATGTCCAGTTGAGCGACATCTGTAATATCAGTACTCCACTCCACTTGACT